GGAGGCCGTCGGGGGGACCGTCGGCAGGGAGCTCGGCGTCGGCGACGGCGCGGCGGTCGGCGCGGCGCTCGGCGCGGGGGACGGCGAGGCGCTCGGGGACGCGGTGGGCGCGGGGGACGGCGAGGCCCCGGGGACGCGGTTGGCGCGCCGGACGGCGCCGCGCTCGGGGACGCGGTGGGCGCGCCGGACGGCGCCGCGCTCGGGGACGCGGTGGGCGCGCCGGACGGCGCCGAGGACGGCGAGGACGACGGCGCCGAGCTCGGGGACGAGGACGGCGCCGCGCTCGGCGAGGCAGATGGCGCGGCGGACGGCGTCGAGCTCGGGGATGAGGACGGCGCCGCGCTCGGCAGAGCCGACGGCGTCGCGCTGGGCCGGCTCGACGGCGCGGCCGTCGGCGCGGCCGTGTACGACACCCGGAAATCGACGGAGTCGGTCAACGTGGCGTCGTCGTCGCACGTGAGCGTCAGCGTGTACTCGCTCACCGCCGCGTCGCCGGAAACGATGTGCGTCTCTTGGCCGTCGTTGTCCAGAGATTCCGTGAGGATGACGGTGCCGTCCGGGTCCGTGAAGACGGCGGTCAGAGTCGCGCAGGCGCTCGAATCGCCGCGGTACACCCAGAGGAGCTCGCATTCGATGCCGTGGATGCACGTCGACTCCGCGCCGATGCTCGCGATCTCGACGAACGAAGCCGTCGGCAGGGGCGACGGTCCGGCGCTCGGCGAGGCGCTCGGGCACGCCGACGGCGCCGCGGACGGCAGGGGCGACGGTCCGGCGCTCGGCGAGGCGCTCGGGCACGCCGACGGCGCCGCGGACGGCAGGGGCGACGGTCCGGCGCTCGGCGAGGCGCTCGGGCACGCCGACGGCGCCGCGGACGGCAGGGGCGACGGTCCGGCGCTCGGCGAGGCGCTCGGGCACGCCGACGGCGCCGCGGACGGCAGGGGCGACGGTCCGGCGCTCGGCGAGGCGCTCGGGCACGCCGACGGCGCCGCGGACGGCAGGGGCGACGGTCCGGCGCTCGGCGAGGCGCTCGGGCACGCCGACGGCGCCGCGGACGGCAGGGGCGACGGTCCGTAGCTCGGCGAGGCGCTCGGGCACGCCGACGGCGCCGCGGACGGCGGGGTGCTCGGGGACGCCGACGGCGCCGCGGACGGCGGGGTGCTCGGAGACGCCGACGGCGCCGCGGACGGGGGCGTCGACGGCGCGGGGGACGGCATGGGCGACGGTCCGGCGCTCGGCGAGGCGCTCGGAGACGCCGACGGCGCCGCGGACGGGAGTGTCGACGGCGCGGGGGACGGCATGGGCGACGGCGCGGCGGACGGCGTCGCGGTCGGCGCCGGCGAGGGCAGGGCGGTCGTCGGCTCCGGCGTGGGGGCGGGCGTCGGCTGGGGCGTCGGCTGGGGCGTCGGCTGGGGCGTCGGCTGGGGCGTCGGCTGGGGCGTCGGCAGGGGCGTCGGTTGAGGCGTCGGGCAAGAGCCGCTGCAGTAGATGATGAGGATCTGGCCGCTGCAGGCCGTCGACCTGTACCCGCCCGCCCCGTCCGTCCAGGAGGAGAGCGCCCCGGAGGAGAACAAAAACGTCGCGTAGTTCGACGTCCCGTAGTACTCGCCGACGGTGGGGTCCGAGGCGGACAGCACGCCCATGACATGCGTGTTCCACGGGTACGCGTTAATGACGTTGTTGTAGAGGTCCGACGAGTAGGTCGCGATCGCCCACCCCGAGGGGACGGCCGTGTAGGTTCTCCCGCAAACGGCCGCGGTGGAATACGGGTCGGCGTTGTGGATGGTCGAGTAATACGCGCCGTTGTACGTGATCATGTTCAGCGCCGCGAGGGGCGTGGCGGCGGCGAGGATGAGGAGCAGCTTCATGGCGGCGGCGGTCCGGCGCCCCTAGCGACCCGATGAAGCCGTACTGGGCGCGGGCGAGCGCCGGGCGCAGCAGCCCCCTAGAATAATGCACCGGCTGCAGCCCGGGTGCGGGTGAAGCCCCGCGACTTTTTTGTCGACTTCTATAGACTGTGAGCAAGAAAGAAACATCCTTATGACGTTGTTGAGGTCCCTGTTGAAGTATACACTTTAATATTGAAGCGACGTTTACCATATCCCGCCGGCGGGACGTGTTAGCCCGCGCGCGCGAGCCGCCGGCGCTCACTTAGTAAGATGAGCACGTCGTGGCGTCCGCGGCTCGGCCCGGGCTTTCAATGGTTTCCGGGCCCGGGACTTGGCGGGCCCGCCGGGCCGCCGACGGGTAGCAAGGACGCGGCGCTTTGGCCGGGGTCCGCAGCTGCGCAGGCGACTGCGATCGCATCGGTGAGCGCCTCGCATCTCACAAGCCACGGCTACGCGCTCGTCGCGCCGCAGCTCGCCGCCGCGCGAGCACCACCTGCGCTGCCGACGCCGCCGGAGCGATCGCGCGCGCGCGCTGAGCGGCCGACGATGCAGGGCCTCGTCGCCGCCTATTCCAGCGACGACG